AACGAAAACACAGCACAGCCGAAGTCGAGCAAAGCAGTGTTTAGGTCCAGCCCTGTTTCACCATGTATGATCCTGAAGCTTCAGATGTGTAACAAATTGCTCTCACCGTAGCGCCGCTCATACTCGTCGTCAAATTATTGTGACGACTTCGTGGGTGGAGGCAAGCTCGTGTTCAACATGTGGCTCTCGCCTCGACGACGCACACATTCGTCTTACAAGTTTGCAGCAATCCTGAGGATTCGTAGGGTTGAAATCCCAGGAATGGTGTTTCAGCACGACTCAGGACTGACAGAACGCAGTCACGTGGATTCGCGGTGTTGAGTCCCAGGAGTTCTGCCTCGGCACGATTTAAGACTCACATAGTTACGAAACTTCAGTGCCCGAGTTTAGATCGATGTAGACGGTTACAAAAACTGTTGCTCCCCACATTCTTTGTGGGGTTGTGGTTTTCTTCCCACCCGCGTCGCACCCGCATCCTTCTCTCACCTCCCTCCTCCCTCCTCCTCTTCCGATCTCCCGGTACATTCTCCGCACCGCAAGGGGTGCGCAGGGGGTGAGGTCGCTATGCGTGCCAGGAACCCAGTGCGTGGCAGGCCTGGCACAGTCTCCACACCGCAAGGGGTGCGCAGGGGGTGGGGTCGCTATGCGTGCCAGGGCCCCATGGCGTGGCAGGCGTGGTACAGTCTCCACACCGCAGGGGGTGCGCAGGGGGTGCGGTCGCTAAACGTGCAAGTGTCCCATGGCGTGGCAGGCGTGGTACAGTCTCCACACCGCATGGGGTGCGCAGGAGGGGGGTCGCTATGCGTGCCAGGGTCTCCAGGCGTGGCAGGCGTAAAACATTCTCCACACCGCAGGGGGTGCGCAGGGGGTGGGGTCGCTATGCGTGCCAGGGTCCCAGGGTGTGGCAGGCGTGGTACATTCTCCGAACCGCAGGGGGTGCACAGGGGGTGCGGTCGCTATGAGTGCCAGGGTCCCAAAGCGTGAAAGGCGTGGTACATTCTCCACACCGCAGGGTGTGCGCAGGGGGTGGGGTCGCTATGCGTGCCAGGGTCGTCCCAGGGCGTGGCAGGCGTAAAACATTCTCCACACCGCAGGGTGTGCGCAGGGGGTGGGGTCGCTATGCGTGCCAGGGTCCCAGGGCGTGGCGGGCGTGGTACATTCTCCACGCCTCAGGGTGTGCGCAGGGGGTGGGGTCGCTATGCGTGCCAGGGTCCCACGGCGTGGCTGCCGTGCTATGCTTGCCAGGGTCCCAAAGCGTGAAAGGCGTTATCCCGGAGCCGCGTGTGGCAACTATTGCCTGGCAGATCCTTCACCAGGAATCGGCCCCAAGCTGGAGGACGGCAAAGCAGAATGTGACATGGTATGTGAACTCACGTAGCATCAAATAAAAATATGGTGTTCTTCAGAGTGGAATTTCATGACCTGTTCTGGACCCCGGCGAGACAACTCTCCTTTTTGGGGAAATTATTGTACGGACCTTTGACGAGGGAACTTAGCAGGATGGTTTATTGAAACATCGATGGTGCGCCTTGAGTTTACACTGGCCCTCCTCATTATCCTGCCACTCCTGCTCTTTCTTCAACTCCTTCTCCTCTCCAGGTTGTTGATTCGACGCGCGGCTTCGCAGAGTTTGTCTGCCCAGGAGCACAAGGCGAACAGAGGCGGGATGCGTCCATATCCACCGCCCTGGGAACGGATGTCCTGCGACCCCAGCGGCGCTCGATATGGATTCTCCAGATTTCGTAATAAAGGGAGGGGGGTCTCATTTCGGGGGGGGTCTCTTCCGGGCTATCTTGGAGGGCCTGGGGGGTCTGGGGACGATGTTTTGGAGGGTTCTCCCACGGGGGGGGGTCTGAGATGGCCTGACCCCCTCCCTTTTTATTACGAAATCTGGAGTCCGGTTCTGCCGCAGGGGTCCTGAGAGTGTACCCACCCGCCTGCCGAGGGCCCTGAAGATCAATCCCCCAGGCGGTGGTCCTGACGACGTGCCCGCCTCGGATCCCGAGCAGGCAGGGGCCCCTTTTGGACGGGCCCCGCGGCTTCTGGAGAGGCCTCCCGGGAGCCCCGGGGAGCACTTGTCCGGCGCACGCTGACGTGGATGGGGGACAACTCCAGATTTCGTAATAAAAGGGAGGGGGTCTGGACCCTCCAAGACAAGCCATTTCAGACCTCCCCCGTGGGAGAACCCTCCAAAACATCGTCCCCAGACCCCCCAGGCCCTCCAAGATAGCCTGGAAGAGCCCCCCCCCGAAATGAGACCTCCCTCCCTTTATTACGAAATCTGGAGTACGCGGACCTGGCGCGCGGTCGACAGATCCATGGATCGGAGAAGGCGCTCCCAAGAGATGGCGCCAGTGCCGCCCGATAGGCGACGGAGAGCGGCCCGCTCAGGTGTGGAAGCGGGACCCGTCGCTACTCCACGCTGCCCGAATCCGTGCCCGCGCTTCCTCGAACCTGGGAGGAGGCACCTGCCTCCGAGTGGCGGCGCGCACAAGGGGGCCAGGCGGGGGGAAGGCCTCTTGGAGGGAGGCTGCCCCTCGGAGGCCGCCAACCCCAAATCTACAGACAAGGCCCGCGCCCTCCAAGAAGCAGGGCGTGCTTCTGAGAAGCCCCCCCCTCTCCCCCTACAGTCGGGGTTGACTGGAGAAGGACACGCGAGAGGAGACAGGACCCCTCCGGGGGGCCACGTTGCCAGGAGGCGGCGGGGGAGGAGGAGGCGGAGGAGGAGGCGGAGGCGGAGGAGGAGGAGGAGGAGCAGGAAGAGGTAATTAGGAGAGAGGAGGAGGAGGAGGCGGAGGAGGAGGAGGCGGAGGAGGCGGAGGCGGAGGCGGCGGAGGAGGAGGTAGGAGAGAGCGCCGACACGCCTCGCGCGCGCCGCCCACGTCCCGCCCCTGCCCTTCCCCGCCTCCTCCGACGCTGCCTCGCTGCCGCGGCGTGGCCCCGCCCCCCTGGGGGGCCTCGACCACTCCGACCACCCAGGGGCTGCAGACCGGTCCCCAGAGGGCCCCAAGACGGCCCAAGGGGCCTCCAAGGTGCCCAGGAGGGCCTCCAAGACGGCCCTGGAGCACGCCAATGCCCCAAGTCGAGACAGAGAGGCCCTCAAAACGGCTTCCGACGGCGTCAGACGGTCCAGGAGGCCACCAAGACGGCCCAAGATGTCTCGAAGATGGCCCAAAACGGCGGCCTCTCATGGGGCGCACGTGGACGTACTGTTAAGTCGGGCCTGGTCCCCCTACAAGGGTATTTTCGACGAAACATGAAAAATACCCCCTAAAAAAATCCATAGATAATCCAAAACGAGTCTGGGGACTATTTCTAGAGTATGTTTTGTTTTTTGGGTGTATGTTTTGGGGTCTTCGTTTTACTTCTCGTCGAAAATCCCCCTGTATGGGGGACGCGCCCGACGTAAACGTACTGTTACGATGTGCCCTCCTTGGAGGCGTGCGCACGACGCGACCATCCAACACGAGCATCTCTCACAATTCGGCGGTGGACAAACCTCCCTTTAATAAACCTCCCCTTGATGAAAACGGCCTGGGACCGAGACCGACGGACCTGGACCCGCAAAAATCACGGCCGCGACGCCCTCTCGCGAACCGAAAACGGCCGATTCCTTAAGCGACGTGTCAGGGTAGGAGGTCTGTCCACCCCCGAAAGATTAGTGTGTCGTTTTCCGGCCGGCACGGCCAAAGGCACCCGCCACCGAGCACGTGCTAGCATTATGTCGTGCGTGCCCCCCCACAGGGGGCATTTCGACGGGGAAGAAAAACTCAAAAATATCGCAACAAGGTCAAAAGATACTCAAAACATAGTCCCCAGACTATTTTTGGATTATTTTTTGACTAGTTTTGGGGGTATTTTTATTTTTCGTCGAAAATCCCTTTGTAGGGGGACATGCCCGACTTGATGCTATCAGATTCCTCAGCGCGAGCGTCTCCTCTTGGTGAACGTTTTCTGATCCGGCGTTTCCACATTGGGCGGAAAGGGGGATGAGGGGGGGTGGTTCTGGCTCTGGACCTCTGCTTAACGCGACTGTTTGCAACAGTGCGTGCTATGGGGGAGGCTTCACCTGCTTGAAACAGGCGCCAGCAACAGCCAAGATCTACTCCATGGGAGGGGGGGAAGAGGGGGACAATGGCCCGCGCCGATCTCCAAAACAATGAACAAGGAAAAGATCACTTTGGGGGCGACGCACACCAACAATTACTATGTTTGGGCGACGCCGATCTTACTCCGAGTCGTTCGGGATGACGACCACTCCTTAAGATAAGTTCGAATAAGGATAAATCGGGAATCTCTGAGATCTGGCGGCTCCAGAGAATCTGTCGCCTCCCAGAGCGTTCCGGAGAGCTCTGAGAGCGCCCCAGAACGCTTTGGCACGGATGTATCTGAAGGGACCCCAGGACACACAAATGAATACACACAAATAAAAATAGTCCCCATATTTTCCCATATTTTGTGGGTTTCTGTCTTCCCCCCCACTTCCCATATTTTCCAATATTTTCTGGTGAATCGAGGATGAATTGTGTCTGTGTGTTTCTTTTCCTCCTGAGTATCCTCGTCCTACAGTCGAATTCTATAGTAAGGACGGGCGGTAAGGACGCAAGGGCCTCGGTCGCCGAAGTTGGCATTTTTTGGGGGCGGCGGACTGCCATCACCCTGAAGGGCTCAGTGAAAAACACAGCAGGACGGGCCGCAGAGGCAAGGACGCAAGGGTAGCCTGGGACATCCGCGCGTCCTGGGCTGTGAATGTTGCGTGCCTCCCCGTCCGGGCGACGCCGATCTCACTCCGAGCCGTCCGGGATGACGACCACTTCGCCTCCGATGGCTGCCCTCTCGTCCCGAAAATCGTGCGTGGACGGCTGGGGCCCGAAGACGGCCTCTCTTCGCAGGCAGGCCCAAGACTGTGCGAAACCGGCCGGCCTCTGCTTCCGGCGACGCGGCGACGCACTTCACCAAAGGACTGCCCTCCCCTCCCTCCCCTCCCCCTCGTGTCTTCGCTATTGGCCTCTTTGTGCCCACCACTCGCTCTTGTTCCCCTCGCACCCAGCCCACTCCACGTGGGCGGCCTCGGCCTGCACGGCGTCTCCAGCGCAGCGCACACCCCTGGCAAGGCGTCTTCTCGCGGATTTCCGAGCTCCGAGTTTTATGTCGGGCCTGTCCCCCTACAGGGGGACTTTCGACGAAAAAACAAAAAATACACCAATTACTCCGACGGAAGGACCCCACATGAGAATCTCTTTAGCTTGCATGGGAGTGTCCTCCTGCCCCTTCCCTTCTCCCACCTACTCTTGCCTCCTCGTTCTCCTCCTGTCTGCTCCTCCTCCTGCCTCAACCCCTGCCTCTTCCTCCTCTTCTTGCCTCCTCCACCTCCTCCCCCTCCCCCTCGTTATGCTTCCTCCCCCCCATTCCCCCTGCCCCTCCTGCCTCCTGCCTCCCCTCCTGCCTCCCTGCCTCCTGTGCTCCTCCTCCTCCTCCCTCTCCTCCTCCTCCTCCTCCTCCTCCTCATCCCCTGTCCTCCTCCTCTCCCTCTCCTCCTCCTCCTCCTCCTCCTCCTCCTCCTCCTCCTCCTCCTCCTCCTCCTCCTCCTCTCCTCCTCCTCCTCCTCCTCCTCCTCCTCCTGCCTCCTCCTTAGGCCTCCTGCCCCCTCCTGGGGCCTCCTGGGGCCTCTTGGGGCCTCCTGGAGCCTTCTGGGCCTTCCGGGACCTACTGGGGCCTCCTCGGGCATTCCTCCTCCTCCTTTTCCTCCTCGTCCTTCCTCCCCTCAGCCTCTTCCTCTTCCTGCTTTCCTGTCTCGTCCTGCATCATCCCTCCTCCTTTTCCTGGCAATCCTCCTCCTCCTCGTCCTCGTGCGGAACACGACCAGGAGGAAGCGCACGACGTGCGTCCCAACCGATACGCGCCGGAGGACGACCCAGAGGAAGCGCGCACCGGAGGATGACCCGGAGGAACCACGTGAGCTGCGGGACCCATAGGAAGGCTCCCGCCTGACGCGTCCCCACAATTCACTCACAGACGTGACCCGCTCGGATTAATAACATGATCTGCGGGCCCCATAGGGAGGGTGCTCCCGCCTGAGACTTCCTCGCAATTCACTCACAAACGAGGCTCCCGCCTGATACTTCCTCCAAATTCAAGCCTGAGGAGCCCAAAAGTGACGACTGTTACAAGAATCCGACGACCCGCTCGGATTATTAACATGATCTGCGGGCCCCATAGGGAGGGGGCTCCCGCCTGAGACTTCCTCGCAATTCACTCACAGACGAGGTTCCCGCTTGATACTTCCTCAAAATTCAAACCTAAGGATCCCACAAGTGACGACAGTTACAAGAATCCGATGACCCCCTCGGATTCGTCACATGATCTGCGGGCCCCATAGGGAAAGGGCTCCCGCCTGACGCGCCCTCACAATTCACTCACATTCCCGCTCGATACTTCCTCCAAATGCAGACCTGAGGAGCCCAAAAGTGACGACAGTTACATAAATCCGATGACCCGCTCGGATTAGTAACATGATCTGCGGGCCCCATAGGGAAGGGGCTCCCGCCTGAGACTTCCTCGCAATTCACTTACAAACGAGGCTCCCGCTTCATACTTCCTCCAAATTCAAACCTGAGGAGCCCAAAAGTGACGACAGTTACAAGAACCCGATGACCTGCTCGGATTAGTAACTTGATCTGCGGGCCCCAAAGGGAGGGGGTTCCCGCCTGACGCGTCCTCACAATTCACTCACAGACGAAGGTCCCGCTTGATACTTCTTCCAAATTCAGACCTGAGGAACCCAAAAATGACGACAGTTACAGGAATCCGATGACCCGCTCGGGTTAGTAACATGATCTGCGGGCCCCATAGGGAGGGTGCTCCCGCCTGAGACTTCCTCGCAATTCACTCACAGACGAGGCTCCCGCTTTATACTTCCTCCAAATTCAGACCTGAGGAGCCCAAAAGTGACGACAGTTACAGGAATCCGATGACCCGCTCGGATTAGTAACATGATCTGCGGGCCCCATAGGGAGGGGGCTCCCGCCTGAGACTTGCTCGCAATTTACTGACAAACGAGGCTCCCGCCTGATACTTCCTCCAAATTCAGACCTGAGGAACCCAAAAATGACGACAGTTACATGAATCCGATGACCCGATCGGATTATTAAAATGATTTGAGGGCCCCATATGGAGGGTGCTCCCGCCTGAGACTTCCTCGCAATTCACTCACAGACGAGGCTCCCGCTTTATACTTCCTCCAAATTCAGACCTGAGGAGCCCAAAAGTGACGACAGTTACAAGAATCCGATGACCCGCTCGGATTAATAACATGATCTGCGGGCCTTATAGGGAGGGGGCTCCCGCCTGAGACTTCCTTACAATTTACTCACAGACGAGGCTCCCGCCTGATACTTCCTCCAAATTCAAACCTGAGGAGCCCAAAAGTGACGACAGTTACAGGAATCCGATGACCCGCTCGGATTAGTAACATGATCTGCGGCCCCATAGGGAGGGGGCTCCCGCCTGAGACTTCCTCGCAATTCACTCACAGAAGAGGCTCCCGCTTCACACTTCCTCCAAATTCAAACCTGAGGAGCCCAAAAGTGACGACAGTTACAGGAATCCGATGACCCGCTCGGATTAGTAACATGACCTGCGGGCCCCATAGGGAGGGGGCTCCCGCCTGACGCGTCCTCACATTTCACTCACAGACGAGGCTCCCTCTTGGTGGATGATGGTGATGGGATGATGACGACGGTGTTTGATGATGATATATGATTGATGATGATGATGATGATGATGATGATGATGATGATGATGATGATGATGATGATGATGATGATGATGATGATGGTGGTGGTGATGATGACGACGTGAAGATGATGATGATGGTGGTGATGATGAGTGCTGATGGTGAGTGATCGTGCGATTCTGATTGTAAATGGTGGTGATGATGATGGGGACGAAGTGGTGAGTCAGCGAGTAGTGATGATGACGATGATGATGATGATGATGATGATGATGATGATGATGATCGTGCGATGCCGATGATGGTGAGTGATCGTGCGATGGTGATGGTGATGCTGATGGTGATGATGATGATGAGTGGGGAGTGATGGTGATGGTGATGATGATGCGGAGGAGGAAGCAAAGAGGAGCAGAGGAGAGGGAGGAGGACGAGAGATCCTGCGCGGAGGGTGTGCAGAGAAAACAAGAATCCCACTTAGGATGTGGGGAAAAATACTCAGAAATAAATCAAAAAAAATGGGGACTTGTTTTGCATATTTGTTGACCTTTTTGGCATATGCTTGGGGTATTTCTTATTTTTCGCCGACAATCCCCCTGTAGGAGGACAGGCCCGACTTAGTCCGAGCTCCGAGCTCCCTCCCGCCTCGCGGCCGCCTGCGCCTGCCTTCCCCTCCCCCTTCGGGAGCGGCCAAGAGGGGGGTGTCCAGGAGGGGGGGGTGCAACTCATGACCGGCGGCATGTGCGCGGCCCAGCGGGGGGGGGCCAGGGACGCAATGAAACAAGAAGAGGCGCCATGAAATCTGGGGAAATATCATGGCCCCCGCCATGATATCCAACCCCCCCTAGTCATCACCCCCCTCTTTTCCGCCCCCGACCCCTGCCGCCCGCCACTCCGCGCTCCCTGCTGCCCGGGCAACGCGCGTGCGGACCGCCCCTGCCGCGCGTGCGCGGACGCCAAAGCGCCCCTGGCGGCGCCCCGCTCGGAGCAGAAGCCACTGACGGACGTCGTCCCTGGGACGCACCGGCTTCCTCGCCATCGCTCGGACGTCCATTCCCTGTGTTTTTGTTGGGGTTTCGTGCGTGGTTGTTTCGCCAGATGATCGAGGATGCTCCTCGATGGTCCTCGCCGAAGGAAAAATGCACACGTCCGAGCGATGCCAAGCTTCAGGGGGGGCACTCGTCGCGCCAGAGCCGGCGAGGTGTCACCGCTGGAGCGGCGGCGGCCCCAGAGGACGAACCCGACCGCTCCTTGGCGGGGTGGAACCATCGGGCCCCTCGTTGGCGATCGGTGGTCGATGGGGGCCAGTGCGTCGCCCCCCTCCCCCCCCCCCTGGATCCTGTACTGACTACCCACCAGACCACCCCAACCCAACCCGAAGACCCAAATTTCGGGTTGGGGGGGATAAGGGTTCCACATGTGTTTTTTTCTATGTTTCCCAGCACCCCCCCCACTGGAAATCGAGGGTAAATCTGATCCTTCGGGTTGGGTTGGGGTGGTTTGGTGGGTGGTGATGTACCTCCCCCTGTCGCCCCCGCCCCCGTGGAGTAGCAGTTTTTTCCAGTGCTGGCGAATTGGCTCGCGTGGCCGGGGGGGGCGGCGAGGCTCGAACGGGATCCCGGAGATCACGCAGGTCGGGAACCACTTGCGCGCCTCTTCGGCCCAGCGCTGCTTGAAAAAGGCGGCGGAGGGGGGGGGGGAGGGGGGGGGAAATGCCACGCGAATTCGCCGGCCCAACGGGCCAGAGGCGTGCTAAGATCTCCGGTAACTTGTTAACAATATTTCTAGTTCGCGCGCGCGGAGCGGCCCCTGGGGGCCCCCGGACGAAAAGTACCCCGGCAAGGTCCCGAGAGAAGCCCGGGAGAAGCCACCAGACCACTCCAGGGGAGGGTATTTTTCGACACCCCTCACGAGGATCGTGGCCTCCGAGGGGGGAGCCGCAATCGACTACCCCCAAGAGCCCCCCAAGAGGCCCTGGGGGCCTCCAAAACGCCGCCAAGGAGCCCCAAGAGACTCCCAAGAGGTCCCCAAGAGGCCCCCAAGAGGCCCTAAAGAGGGCTCCAGGGCCGGCGGCATGAGCGAAGCGATTAAATAATCTTGCCTGCCTCTGAAAGAACTTTATTCTGTCGGCGGCGAGGCAGAGGCAGTCCGCACCAGCGTGAGGCGAATAGGAACGACCGAAAGACGGAGGGCGCTCAGACGTGGAAGACTCCTGCGGTGAGCGATGAAGGGGCCCTGGGACACACGAATAAATACACACAAACAAAAAGATTCCCCATATGTTCCCATATGTTTTGGGGTTTCTGTCGTCCCCCCCACTTCCCATATTCTCGCATAGTTTCTGGGAGTCGACGAATAATTGTGTCTGTGTGTTTTTCCCCCTGAAGCGAGACCGAGCGGTCAGCCAGGGCATCTGAAGGAACACGCCCTCCCGTAACTCGGGGGTCCGGCGGCCGCTCGGGACGGCGCGGTCAGCCCCGGAGCGCTCTCGGCGAGGCGCGACCGCCTGGAGAGCCATCCTCGGACCTCCAAAACAACGTCACGTCTTGGGCAAAGCAGGCCCAAATCTCCAACAAATCTTGGCTTGGGAAAAATCCCAAACTGAATATTCGAAACATCTCGACGAACTAGCATCTCCAGCAAAGACCCAGGAACAGACAACCTAACAACTGCTTGGTGTGTGAAAAGATCCAACCACCAACTGTCAAGTAGCATTACATATTCAACAACTGTTCGAATATTCTAAAACGAAAGTTTACAATATCTTGCCCACATGTGCTGATATCGAACTGTTATGTTATAGCTATGAGTATACGTTTATGTGTACATGCATCGGTTTATACACGTTTACGCATATACGTATACATGAAAACATATAATCTGATATACACACACACACACACCTGCACTGCCCCAAAACATGTTCCACCTATGTTCTGGAGATGTGCCGTAGATAGTCCGTAAAGTTCCCCTGATAATTCTGCACCGCGGAGGTGCCCCAGATATTTCACTGGAGATCTCAAAAGCCCGGAGGTGATCCAAATATACCCACAGAGATGTTTCAAGCCTGCAAATGTTCTGGAGATTCTGGGAATGCCCAAACACCGTTTAGAGATTCCCCTGGACATTTCCCGGAGATGTTTCACCACGAGGGCAATGGTCGCGTTTGCCACATTGACCTAATCTAATTCAGCCGATCCCCCCCTCTTGAACGTTGCCCCTGAGGGGACACTCTGCTCAGCGTGGGAATCGGAGCAGATAACAAAGCGCCGACGCTCAGCAGCCGCAATGCTGCCGCATATGCCTTGGAAGCACTCGAGCTCAGCTGCAACTCGTCGCGCTACTCTCCTCCGCAGATTCCTCTCAGGTCTCTGGCTCTGGAGGCTCCTTTTGATCCCCAAGAACCTCGAGCCATCGGCTGCTTGCCACACCCCTGCCCAAGACAACAAACACATCGAGCACATGATGCATTCCGAGGCGAAACTGTCGCTTCCAGACAAGAGCATGACAGACCGCTGAACTGAAGGACAACATTTAGGTCGGGCATGTCCCCCCATAGGCGGATTTTAGAAGAAAAATCAGCGGGTCCCCTTGTGGGGCCATCTGACTGCGAGGTTTAGGCTTGCTGCTCCCTGCACCGGCTCCAATTTCCAATGTTACAGTCCTGCTTTCCGCTTTCTAATGTAAATGATTGAAGTCCGCGCGAGGACCAGGAAGCCGGAAAAAAGGGCCTGGTTACCACCCCCGAGTCGCACTCTCTGAATTCCTGCGGGGCCGTGGGACACATAAGAATACATGAGATTCGCGCTCCAGACGCAGCAATCCCTTTCAATTTCCACTGGGTTCGCATCCCCGAGACCACGATCCCATGTAAATTGCACCGCATTCGCGCCCCCGAAGCCACGATCCCTTGTACATTACGCCATGTCTGCGCCCCCGAGGCCACGATCTCCAGTACATCACACCACCGTCGCGCCTCTGGGGCCACGGTCCCGTCTCAAATTACGCTACAGTTGCGCCCCCGAGGTCGCAATCCCCTGCAAAAGCATGTGAGATTCGCGTCCGCGAGACCAGTAACCCTCGCAGATTAAACAATGGTTGCGTCCCCGGGGCAGCAAGCCTTTTGTAGATTATGCAATGCTCGCGTCCCATCCACCCTCGCTTATTTGTTGATTATTGCGCTCCCGAGGCAACAAACCCTTCTAAATCATTCAATCTCTGCGTCCCCGATGCAACAAACTCTTGCAAATTACACAAAAGTCGCGTCCCCGGAGCCTGAAAGCATTGTACGTTACACTAGATTCGCGTCCCCGAGGCCACGAACCCATACGAAAGCTCCATAATCGCGCCCCCGAAACCATAATCCATTGCAAAATATTAAATATGTGCGTCCCCGAGGCAACACACCGTCGTAAATGATTCGATAGTCGCGTCCACGTGGCCATAAACCCCCGCAACGCATGCCATATTCGTGTTGCCGAGGCCAAGAGTGCTCCAAGGCGCCCGAAGATGGTTCCAAAACGGCTCAAGAGGGCTCCAAGAGGCCCCAAAAGCGCTGCAGGAGGCCTCCCGAGAGAGCCCCAGGAGACCGACATCGACGATCTTACAACAACTTTTGAAGGAGTTGGGGGTCCTCGCGTGTTCGGCTGTCCGTCGCTCCAAGATGGCTCAAGAAGCTCCCAAGGCCGCCCCAAGACAGCCCAAGACGCCTCCAAGAGGGCCCCAAGACGCCTCCAAGAGGGCCCCAAGACGGCCCGAGAGGGCCCCAAGATGGCCCAAGAAGCGCTCCGAGAAGCCCCGCGAAGGCCCCAGGAGGCCCCAAGAGGCCCCAAGAGGCGCCCAAGATGCGCCAAAGAGGCCCCCAAGAGGCCCAAAGGATACCACACGAGGCCCCACGAGGCCCCCAAGAGGCGCCGAAACCGCCTCCAAGAGGCCACCGACAGGCTCCCCACGACACCCCAGCACATGTACAAGAGGCCTCAGACCCACAACCCAGACAAGGTGGCGGGATGGGTCGAAGGCCATTTGGATGACGCCAACATCTCAATATGCGCTGATGATTCCTATCCGCCCCCGCATGATGCTCCCAGATGCGCCAAGGCAGCGCCGAGACGCACCGACGCATCCCATTACGATAGAGTGGGGGCCGGCGGCAGGGGGCGAAGCCCTTACTGTTAGAAAAAATCAAACGTATTTCAAAATACTAAAGAAATAGCCAAGTCGTCCCCAGAGTATGTTCCAGCAATGTTGGGATATTCCTCCTGTAGAAAGACACGCCCGACTCACAACAAGGTGCGACCGAGTCGTGGAGGCCACCCTGCTGCTTCCGGACACTCTCGGGCTCTTCCTCCCAGCGCGTCGCTGCCGGCGGCCACGGCGGCACGCCACGCCCTGCGAGCGGACAGCGCGCCGCTCGGCTCCGCGGGGCGAAAGGGGCCGGGGCAACGCTCGGGAGATCGACGCCGGGGGGCCCGGGAGGTGGACGGCGTGGCGCGCCGGAGCGCGGTGGGCCACGGCAAGTGGCGCGGCACGCTGCGCCGAGGGCTCCCGACCGTACCGCCACCTCCTCGGACCACTTGCGGCAGAAAGGGCCAGAGGGAGGGGAGGGGGGGGGGAGCGGGCGTTGCCGGCCTCTGGGGGGGGGGGCCTTCCACGGGCCCCGGGGCCGTCGCGGAGCGGCCTGGGACACGGAAGAGACTGGTCCCACGGGGGAGGGGGGTCCCCGCCCCTCTGGGGCTCGGCGCTGCGAAAGAGAACGCACGGCGTCGGCGTGCTGCTGGGCCAAGATCCAGCGGAGCAACACCCGAAGCCAACGCTTCTGGCCGCCACTGCACGGGAGGCCCCCCGGGGGGGGATGGGGGCGCGCCCGCGGCGGTCTCGCCGCCGGCCGCCGCGGCGTCGCCCTCGCGTTCAGGCGGGGGGGGGGGCGGGAGGACAGGACAGGACAGGACACCCGCATAAGGGGGCCAACGGCAATGCGCCCGCTCAGGTGCAGTGTGGAGCGTATGCGTACTTCCCCATGCGTGAGTGCTGTACAGCGAGGGCTCGACAGCCCCGCGAGTGGCGGGAGGAGGGGCGAGAGGAGGGCCTGCCATCGCTCGGGCGGCCCCTCCTCGTGGCACTCGACGGCTTCGTGCGTGCTCTATTGAGCCCCCGAGCGGGCCCATAAGCTGCCCCGAGGCGGTCCCGACGTTCCGGCGCTGGCCTCGCCGAGCAACATATGCACACGTCCGAGCGATGGCAAGGAGGGGGAGGAGGGGAGGACGTCGTCCCCCCTCGGCCCCCGAGGGCGGGGGGCACGGGGAGGGAGGAGCGAGAGGAGCGAGGAGGGGGGTGGAGAAGGAGGAGCGAGCAGGGAGGGTGGAGAAGGGGGGGGGAAACAGGAGGAGAACGAGGAGGAGCGAGGGGGGAGCGAGGAGCGAGGCGCGAGGAGGGGCACGCACGACCACGACGGGACATCACCTGAGGGGGCTGCTGCTGCTGCTGCTGCTGCTGCTGCTGCTGGTGCTGCTGCTGCTCCCCCAAGCTGCTGAAACTCACCCCTCCTGCTCCTCCTCCTCCTCCTCCTCCTCCTCCTCCTCCTCCTCCTCCTCCTCCTCCTCCTCCTCCTCTCCCTTTTCCTCCTCTTTCGTTCGGCCCTTTACCCATGCCCCATGCCTCTCGCGCGGCCGACCTGGGATCTCCACACCACGCCTGCACCTTTTCCCGCCCGGCACACCGCTGGGGAGAAGGACCCGCGCCGCCTCCGTACGGGCCGCTGTCCTGTCCTGTCCTGTCCTGTCCTGACCCGTTCTTCGAGGCAGCTCCAGCCGTGGCGATGGCATACCTGAAGGGTAAGGCCAGGAAGAGCCGCCGTGGTCTCGACGTGCCCTCCTCCGACATGCCCCCCTGGCGCTGCCCCATTGAGACTCCGAGTCGGCGAATTACACGGAGTGACCCTGGGCAAAGGCCACCGTTGGTGCGCGGTTTCCTGGGGGCCGCGGGGGGGGACCAAACGCGAGCATCCCCAGACTATTTGTTTGACAATTTTTGAGTATTCCTCCTGGCGAAGGGCATGCCCGACTTACGTGATCGAGCCACTCAAGTCTTGGAAATGATAGGCCATGGGATGCAGTCAAACGGCCCATGATTTAGAATATCCGTTGCTCACTTTAGTAAGCCTTTTTTTGCGTTTGCTGAATGATGTGCTGTCTTGTTTTGATGAGGCGGCGCAATTTCATTAATCCGTTCCTCAAGCAAACAAATCCTGACTTTCTCAACAATCAGTTTTGATAACGCGGGCTCATTCATTACCATGACCTATGTAAGCCGGTGATTATCGGCTGTGGACAAACCTCCCTTTAGTCCCTTAGTGAAAACGGCCTGGGACCGAAACCGACGGACCTGGACCCGCAACAATGACGGCCGCGACGCCCTCTCGCGAACCGAAAACGGCCAATTCCTTAGTCGACGTGTCAGGGTAGGAGGTCTGTCCACCTCCGAGATTAAGTGTAGTCGACAGAAGGAGCAGGAGAGAACTGCCGCGGCCTCGGCCGCCGCCGGCACGGCGGCCGGCGCCGAGGGTCGCGCGGCTGGCGCCGCGGCGGGCGCCGCGGGCGCGGCGGGCGCCGCGGCGCTCGGGCTGCGGCAGTGGTGCAGCGCCTGGGAGCTCGGCGAGGGTCGCCCTCCTCCTGCTTGCGCTTCCTCCTTCTCCTGCGCAGGCTACCCAGACCCCCCCTCGAGCAGTGAACAAGATCATGGCATAACATGTTTTTCGTCGCCTTCGGCCCTCCGGGGGCCCTCACCAGGCCTCGGGAGCGTCAAAGAACGACTCGGGACGAAAAAACGAATTTGTGGAATGGGTCGAGGCCTCTGGGGGTCGACAGTGAACAAAATCATGGCGTCGGGGGTCTGGGTGAAAGGGCGCGCGGCTGCGCCCGTAGCGTCAGTGGCCTGCGGTGGCCCGCGGGTGCTCGAGACATTTTGTTGCACAGGGGCTGAACAGGGCGGCGAGAGCAACAGTGGAGGACGAGAGGAAACCACATGGTCGTGGAGAGGAATCGAGCGAGCCTGCAGGAGGGAACTGTTCCTCCTCCACCTCCTCCCGCGGCCTCTCCCCTCCCACTCATTCGCATCCTCTCCACGACTAACACCACTCGTCCCTGTCGCACCGCGAGGCTGGTCGAGAGGGCGAACCGGGCGCTTCGCCGGATCTTCATCAATTAGAAACCTGAAGTTTACAAATACACAACAGCTTCATAATGGAGGGCGGATCGTTTCTACAATGTGGTTCTTGCCTAGGCGCTGCGGACTTCTGTTTCAAGCCGTTGCCAAACATTCACGGATTAAGGGCACGAATATTTTTAACTGTGCCTCTCGCTTACGCAAGCGCCGCGCATTTTCGATGTAAAGATTGCCGGACAACTTCAAGGATTTGGGGCGCGTCGTCTTCAAATGTGGCCTCCGCCATAGGCTCGCGCACATTCGTTTCACACATCTGCATACGTTTAACGGATTAGTGGCGGGACGTCGTCCAAATGTGGCTCTCGCCGTGGCGTCGCGCACATTCGTTTGAACATCTGCCAGAAGTCTCTCGGCTGTAAGGCGGTTCCGTATCAGAATGTGGGTCTCGCCCGAGCGCCGCACACACATGGCCCATGTGCCACACATGTTGTTTTGGACGCACTTCAGATCTTGAAGCCGCAGAACTGTCGTTGATTCGCGCGGCGTGGAGGCCCAATAATTGCGTTATGGTGCGGTTCTGGATCGCCAAGACGTAAACATCATGTTGACCCGTGGCGTTGGAGTTCTCGCAATGGTGTTTTGACACGCATCCTGGTTTTCAAACGGATGTCTCCCAACGAGACAGTTCCCTCAGTGGTCATGACCCCTCGACAGAACCTGGACAAAAAGGAACTTGGACGGAGGGCTTGTTCCAGAATCGTTGTTGAATCTTGGGTGTGCAGTGGTCCTCGTTTTCCTCCTCGCCTTCTTATTCTTCCTACTCCTCCTCCCTCTTGTCCTCATCCGGCTCCCCTCGTGCTGGGTTTGTGGCAGAAACGAACCCCAGAAGCCGTTCACAGCTAGCCTCTGAAGGTGGTTGCCACGGCAAAATGCTTCCTGCAAACAACTGTATAAACACAAACCCGATGTTGAGGTCCCTGGGAGCCCCGCTTCCCCCGTTGGGTGGAGGGCCTGGTTAAATTACCAGGCCGACCAGGCTGAACAGATGGCCTGCTAATTGCACGAGATTCACGGCCCCATCCTGGCCCATCTTGAAGACCGGTTTGCGCGGGTCTCGATATTCGGTGTAGCTGCTGCCCCCCGACTTGAATGAAAGGACCTCCGGCTGGCACAGTGCCCCACGGTCTCCGCCTGCAAAACCGCCAGCGATGTTATTGACCCTGGGCGGGCGCTGCCGCTGGCAATGCGACCATTGCTTGAAGTCGAAGGTGACCCCCCCCAGTTCCGTGGACCAGCGGGCGTGTATGCAGAGCGATGCGGCGCCCAGCTTTCAGTGCGTGCGTGTGTGTGTATGTGTGTGTGTGTGACTGCATTCGCCTACGCCCACGACGCTGAATGGTAAGAACTCGCACCGCGGCCCGAGGCCGAAACGGGTGACACGATGCTGTTTTGCCAGACGTGCTGCCCGTACGCCTTCACGAAAAAAACGGTGGGCCCTGGCAAGGTCTGTCCCAGTTTCTTTGGGGGTAGTAAGGAATCGGGGCACAAGCTGCGTTTTTGTGTTTCCCCGCCGTGCAAAACACCGCAATCACCGGAGAGAGAGCGAAAGTATTGCTCATTGGCCCCTATTGGGACAGGCGTACGGAACTGACAAAGCTCCAGCTTCTCCCCGCTACATTTGGGCCCGTGTAAAGTCAGCCTCAGTGGCCAGACCTCTGCTGGGTGGAGGAGAGGTCCGGATACAGCATGAAAAGGTCAAACACCCGGACTACGATTTCATGAATTCCGCCGAACTCAAGAATCCCCTCTCCACCAACTGGTAGACGGTCACGACGAATCCCACCTGCGCCCGTTGCTGCAGGCCTCGCCGCAGCTGCTCAGTCTGCGAACTCCGCGGCCAGCCAGGCCGCGCCCGCCGCCGTGCTGTCGCCGTCCACGGCTGTGCGGAGTTGACGGGCGGTGGCCCTGAGGAGCGCCACGCTGGGACTGGCGCCCCAATGCCACGGGCGAGCCGCAAAACCAGTGCGCCGGCGGCCGCCTCCGCAGCCCGCCCGTCCCCGAATCATTGCGCCTGATCCCCCGCCAGCCAGCGCAGGTGGCGGAACGCAGCCGTACCGAGGCGCCCGACGATCTCACGCGCCAGCGGCAGCACCAGTTACGGCGAGCGGTGACTCATATATCGGCGCCGCTTGACCGCTTCTGCGGCTGCGTTGACGGCGCCGCAGCCGTCCGCGCCAGGCCGCGCTCGTCGCCAAACACGCAGCAGCAGGCCGTCGCATCCGCAATGGACAAGCGCGTTGCAGCATTCGCAAAGTAGCTACTCGCAAGTGGCCTGGATTCGCCGCGGGGGATTTTCGATACATGCCATATAGCAAGACATATGTTTGTTGGACGTTTGCGAGTAGGCACTTTGCGAGTAGTGGAACGCGCCCAGTGACGCAAGAAGCCTCGGGTACTCTCCTCTTTGCTCCTCTTCCCGCTTAGCCCCGACTGCCGCGACGAAGGCCACGCAGGGCCCAGCCTGCGGGGTGTTCTGCGGTGCGGCAAGCTGCGCGGGCTGGCGAGGGGCAGCGGCAAACCACCCAGCCCACGCAGTGGCGGGCACTCGGAGCGCAGCGCGAAAGAAGGCAGCCCTGGCGGAAACACTCCCAAGCGCCCTCCACGTACCGCTGGAAAGAAAACGTTTGAAACACTATGGACATAGACACAAATAGTCGAAAGAGCACGTGCAATCGTGGCCAGACTATGCTTTATCTACTGTTTGAACCTTGTACAAAGACATGCCCGACTTAAACGTATCGTCTTCTCGACTCCAGGCCGCCGCCGCGCGCGCACCGATAGGCGTGGCGCGCCTTCCGGCAGTCTGGCCGTGCGCAGAGTTGGCCCTGGCCCTCGCGCCAGTGCGGCAGCAGCTGCGGCAGTGTCTGGCGCAGCGTCCTGGCCGAGCAGACCCCCTGCGGTGCCGCAGCAGTCGGCGTCCTCCAGAGCCGCTACTGGGGCCCTGCCGTGGGCAAGCTGCCAGACCGCCGCGTGCGGCGCGCCGCGGGGCTCGTGCCTCGGTTCCGAGAGTGGCCGGCAAGGCGTCGTGGATCATTTTGTCTAGCCTTTGCGCGAGCCACCTCTGAAACTTCGGTCGACGTTCGTGGGCCAGCAGCGCCCAGGCCGGCAGCAGCCAAAGACTCGTCCGGCTCCTCCTCCTCCGCCTCCTCCTCCTCCTCCTCCTCCTCCTATTATTCCCGCTTTCCTTCCTCCTCATTCCAATCCCTCCTCCTCCTCCTCCTCCTCGTCCTCCTCCACATCATCATCATCATCATCATCATCATCATCATCATCATCATCATCATCATCATCATCACCATCACCATCACCATCACCATCATCAACATCATCATCATCATCAGCATCATCATCATCAGCATCAGCATCATCATCATCATCATCATCATCAGCATCAACATCATCATTATCATCATCATCAACATCATCATCATCATTATCATCATCATCATCATTATCAGCATCATCAGCATCATCATCAGCATCATCATCAGCATCAGCATCATCATCAGCATCAACATCATCAGTAGCATCAGCATCATCATCATCAGCAACATCACCATCAGCATCAGCATCAGCATCATCATCGTCATCAGTACAAGCTTATACTATTATGTCTGGTATGCTTCATAGTATGCCTCCTACTCCTCCTTTTTTCTTCTCCCTCCCTCCCCCTCCTTCCTCCTCCCTCCTCCTCCTCTTCCTCTTCTTCCTCCTCCTCCTCCTCCCCCTGCCTGCCGTAGTACCCGGGCTTTGGGGTTACTCCTTCTCTTTTCTCCTTCTTCTGTCTTCGCTTCTGGGGTTGTGGGTTCGGTCGGCGCGGGAGTGCAGGTTACGCAGCCTGCCCCTGAACCCGAGCCTTGGGGTTCCCCCGCGCCGCCGCCCCTCTCCCCCCAAATTCCCCTCTTCTTTTACTCGTGCACTGGGCACGGGGGTAGCTGGGAAGCCAGCCGCCCTGACCGATGCCCGAGCCGCCCTCGCCCTCCTTCATAGGGAGGGCGTGGGCTCGCCGTTCTGCGTCGGGTCCTGTGTCAGGCTCGGTCTCTTTCATATTGCGAGCTTCGCTCGCCTACATATTTCCATACCTCTCACTCGTTCTCGGGTCGCCTGCGCGATCCCCTTGGTGGGGGGTGGCCCGCCTTTGAACGAGGGGGGCGGTGCGAAGCACCTGCCTTCATTCAGCTGTGCTCGCCCTCGCGCCCACTTGGAGCGCGGCGACCGCCAGGCAGTGCGGTATCCTCCTCCCCCCCCTCCTCCTCCTCCTCATCCTCCTCCTCCTCCTCCTCCTCCTCCTCCTTCTGATCCTCCACCTCTTCCTCCGAAAGGCATCCGAGTAGATGGGGCTGGAAGATCGTGGCACATCCCCAGTTTATGGCCGATACATGGGCGATGCATCGCCGTAGTCGGCGTGGAGAAACACT